AGAACGTGCTGCCGCCGCCCGACGGGTACGTGGTGACGGTGCGCGCCCACGACGCGGACACCCCGCCCTACAACGGCCACGTGCGCTACTTTCTCAAGGAGGGCGACGCCGACCTCTTCCGCGTCAACGCGTCTTCCGGCGAGGTGTCGCTGCTGCGCGCGCTGGACCGCGAGGCGCAGGCCGAGTACGTGCTGGCGCTCGTCGCCATGGACACCGGTGAGTACTCTCCGAGGCAGGGGCGCTCGAGCGTCCCGCTCAGGCAGACTTGCCTCGCGCGCCTTCTCTGCGTTCTCTCTAGATTGACTTCGCGTTGCGTTGGAGTTGAAGTTTCATTTGAATCCACACCTTATTTTATGAATTCATTTATTACTTTTATTATTAATTACTTTAGGTGGCAAGACTCGAGCCATCGTGCCCGGTCTTCCGTCTGACCATGCAAATTACGCTTCGCTTTTTTCGCCATCTAGCGGAGAAAGAAGGTGACGAAACAGGAGATTTAAATTTCGCTCAGAGACATCTTTTAGTCTTGAGGATCTTTTACACGCTGTAAATCTAGCACATGGGACAGGCGGCATACCTTCCCCTCTGTAGAAAGGTGTACGGAGGATTTTTTCGCCCTTACATTCCACCCCGCATTTGTTTGGTACTACGTGAGACAAAATGCTTGAAGAACGTAGCCTTACCTCTCCAAAATACCTCTTGTATTTGTCTCTCTACCGAACCTCGGATACAAATCCGTTGACTGTGTGAATCATTCTTTCGTTTTACACACTAGTGGTGCTGTCGCAGTTTCGCGTCAGACAGGTCCCATTCTTGCGGAATATCTGGGCTTCAAACGTACCATTTACGGTAGGGTAGACGGTAGGGTACTACCATTTGCGGTAGGGTAGACTTATGCATGCTAACTCCGTGAAAAATAGAATAAAATGGACTGTCTGCTTTAAATATATCTTTACAAAACATATTGCAGAATAATTAGGAAAGTTGAGACTTGCATCTTGAGACAGATGTACACCTTTGACACTAAGCGAAGTTGATAAAAAAGAAAACACACCGAGTTGTAAAGTCAATTCTTAAATTGTGTTTTAATACTGACTACATTTTTCAAGCGACCTGTATGGTGTAAAATGGAGCCTTTTTACAGCTGTCCGGGAGGCACTGCTTCTGAACAGTACTGCTGATTGTTGTTTTCTTCACTTCTCGAGATTTGGGTTGAATGAAGCATAAGAGAGGTGGCTGAAATCATGATACTTTTGGCCAGAAAGAAAAGTCACGTCAATAGACAAAGACAATTCACTCTCTCTGCCCCTAGGAGGGTGTGTACGGATTCACGGATGAATTGGAACATTTCTCCTGAGGAGATGTTAAACAAATTGAAAATAAAAAGCAAGTGAACAATCAGAAGTGATCCGATGAAAGTGTTAATGAAAGAAGTTAACGATTGATAAATTAACAAATTAACTAGTCTTTGTTGATGGGCACAGTATGAATGAATCCTAAGAATACTTTTGAGAATGTTTTTCAGTTTCCGCGAATTTGTTTATTTCAACTTCTTCCTTTTAAGATTTTAAAGTGTTTAACGTATCAATTAATAACCAAGGTGGTGTGAGTTCTGGCTGGAACACATTACTACTATTTCAGCAGACTCCCCCATGCAATTCGCAACCTCCATCGGTTAGATGTATACAAAATATTACATTATACACGAAGAAAATTTAGTTATTATGAATTCTGACTCGGCAGCAACAGGCAAAAACATTAATTCAGTTTTCTTAACTTTCTACAATCTTCATGTAGATATAACTAATGCAGCAATTACAACACTAGAACTATGAAGCGTTCACTCCTGGGTGTTTTTGTGGGTATATTTGGCCATAATAGTCAAATATTTCCAGTTCCCGTAGGTAAGACTTCAACATCTGTTTTAGAAATATCAAAATATATCATACATACCTCGATGTAACGAATAAATCGATGAATGGTAATGCACTACTCTTAAACTCTTTGCACTCTATGATTTATCGTGTTTATGCGAAGAATAGTACTAGACTAAACGTGGTTCTCTGCCGCATTTTGTAAATATTTTCACGGGGTCGTTATTTAATTTGTGCATGATACCTTCTTGAACTAGGTTTGCTGAACATATGCGCGACATTTTGAAACATTTGGGCTCTTAGGCCAGCCGTGATTTGAGTTATTGATAACTCTCACTCGCCACAGGAATATCGTGAATGGAGTTTCCTTGGGCCTTGCCTTTTTCCTCTCTGCATCGCTCACGGTGATTATCCGTTTATCGTCTCACCAGAGTCCCATCGTGTTTAACTTGTCGTGGCGAAATCAAGTTCTCACGTAAAACACGTGACGAAATTCGGGCGGTGCAGTTGATGATACGGCTTCGCACCGCCTCCAAATCAACCAAGACAATAATAATGAAAGAGGCTACTTTTAAGCTACGATAGCAATCGGAAGCATACAGGGACATTTACACGTCAAGATATTTGTTAATAGTTGTCGGGTATTTAGGTGTTGTTTTCTAGTGTAGGCATTGTCTTTCATTTTTTACATAACCAAGTGAATATTTTGTCAGTATTGTCTTATGATTTTTTTTCTTCATTCTATTGCGATGAACCCCAGGCTTATATCTCTGAGTCAAATTAAGTTGATTAAGTATCGAACTACTTCGAAGGAGAAGACGCCTGTTGTAAAATGGTCATGATCCTATGAATATCGAACCTGATATGACTCCCATCAATTCAACGTTGTATGAAATCTAATAAAAACTATGTCTGTATTGTGTAGTACACTATGTAAGAATTTGAATCTAATGTTTCATAGAGATATTTCCCTTGTTTTCAAGTGAAGAGGTGATACTAATGTACTACTCTTATTAACTTCAATTATACCTTACATTATTTATTCTACCACGAATAGTATTTTTGTTTTTCAAAATATTGTCTACTTAATAGTTTACTTATTAATTAAAATGTATCTACTTAATCCGTTTATATCGTATGTTAAATAACACCTTCATTTGCAATACAGTGCAAACGTTTGTGCCAGCGTTAAGACTGCGCATATTTCCATACAATATTAATTAATGGATTTGCGCGTCTGGGGCACAGTAACTAAAACAATTTAGTGAAAAGCAAAATAAGTGAATTTTGTTAGAACAACTGGAATAAATAGTTCGGGTACAATGTTATGTCTTGGAGTCCCAATCAACTGATGTGAATTCTTCATTTTATTTCTTTACAACCCTGATCTAACCGGCCAACGAATTTCAACCTTGGTCTCTGCTCTTCTATTGGTCGGAGCTCTTTATATGCCCTTGAAAGAATAGAAATATTCCAGACACATATATTTAGAATCTTATTTATTAAGAAAGGAAAGTCTGTGCCAGTTTTCGAACTTGTATGATCCAAAGAAGAACGTAATGTATGTAGGAGCCGAGGCATACAGTTTTAATGAGTATATCGTTGATCTCAACCGTCATATAAAGGGAACGACGCTGTGGCCTGTGTAATACCTGTGACATGTTGAGTCAAATCCTAAAAATATCTTCTTTGAGCAAATCTTCTTTGCTTTCACTGAATATAGTTCAAACCCCACATTCCTTACTGCATTGGACCGAGAAAATGTGAGAAAAGCTGGTGATAATGGAAGAGTCGAAGACTAATGAAAAAGTGATAGAAGGTTAGAGAGAGAGAGAGAGAGAGAGAGAGAGAATGAGCGAAGGGGAAATGCGTAGGTGCATTTGATATTAGACGCGAGCAGGCGAAGTATTGAAAGATAAATTGAAGAGAGTCAACGGAGAATAAAATACTCGTGTGTCAGATGGGTCTACAGAGTAAAATGACAAAACAAACTATGTGATAGCGGGCAGAAATAATGGTAGAGTTGTAAAAAGCAAAAGAGAAAGAAATAGAAGAAATTGATGCAAGTGTAAGTTGGTAAAAAAGTGGGCTGACAAGTGAAGAGAGAAAGGCAGGAGAACGGTCAAGGGATTTTGCCTGGAAATGTGAAATCTGTTAAAAGTGACCAAAAAGGTGAGCAGGTGGAAGGTAGATAGCATTTGACGAGTAAAAAGGGAATAGCGTCGAACGGAAACAACTCTATAGAAACGCAGAAGAGTTAACAAGGAGAGAAATGGACAGAAAAGGCATAGCGATCGAAATTCAGAGATAGAGAGCGGAAGACAGAGAGGGGGAGGGACAAGGAGAGGGAGGGGGAGAGACAGAGAGAAGGAATAGATGACTGATGTGAAAAGCGGGAAGGAGCACTGAGCAGAATTGAAATGTGAGGAACCCAGAGGAACTAGTAGCGGCTGAAAGTGGGGTGCACCTGGAGTATCTGGGATCGGACAGGAGGTCGGGTTGAACACTCCCATCCCGTATTCCGCTTTAATGCAATTCAGCTAGGGAACGTTCCTTCACTAGGAATGTGGAGATATCCAGGCCTTGAGATGCGTAGCGCATGACATAACGCCGGACCAGACCTGACCACTCTTAACACGTATCTGGTGACCGCTCAAATGCTTCGATGCACTGACCCTGTCGGTTTTATTAGCACCACAACATGTCTGTATTTCAATACAATGGGAGTTAGATATAATAGGACAGTTTGGGTAAGATAGACACTTCGTATTTCTGGTATTGCTAGTATTACAGCTTAAGCCCTCTACATACACACATTTTAGGAGAGCGGCCCGCCCGCACTCACCAGCAAACCCTTCGTCTTCTGTACAATCAACTTTATCGAGAGCTTGATGTTGCATCGTTGAATCCTCCTCTCGAGCATTTCGCCTCCTGGCGTTGCTTCTCGTGCGCTGGGCCACGGCGACGCCGACGGCGACGCCGACCTCGACCCCGGCGCCGAGTGCGGCTGGCGCAGCGTCGTCTTTCAGAGGGCTCCGCGGGGCGAGTTCCTGTGTGCTTCGGCTCCCCGCCGCCGCTCGAAGGCGTCCTTCTCTCCGGTTGCGCCGGCCGTTACCCGACGCGAGCGTCCGGTGACTGGCGTTCGTAAACGACAGACGTCGTTTCCGCTGTCGTCATGACGAGCCGGCGAGCACGTCTCGCGAGATGCACGCGGAGTCGAGCGCAGGTGGTAAGGCCACCGGAAGGGAAGGCGGGCGGGCGCCGTTTGCATTCCGCGCTGCAGCTGAGCTCCGCGCGAGACAATATCCTGCCCGCGAGGACACGAGATGAGGACGAGGAACG